TTGGGTTTAAGTACCATTTGCTGGCCAGGCACAGTGGCTCATGCCTGTTATCCCAGCACTTTGGGAGGCCAAGGAGGGTAGATCACCTGAGGTCAGAAGTTCGAGACCAGCCTAACCAACAAGGTGAAACCCCGTCTCTACCAAAAACACAAAAATTAGCCAGGCACGGTGGCAGGCGCCTGTGGTCCCAGGCATTCAGGAGGCTGAGGCAGGAGAATCACTTGAACCCGGGAGGCGGAGGTTGCAGTGAGCCGAGATCGTGCCACTGCACTCCAGCCTGTGGGATGGAGCGAGACTCTGTCTCAAAAAAACAAAACGACAAAAACAAAAAAAGTACCATTTGCTTCTCAAGGAAGATTTAGTTTGCATGTCCCACCCAAAGGAAGGACGGTGTAATCTATGTGGCCGATTCTGTTATGTGCATTAGTTCAGGCACATCTTGAAAGGCAACATCCTCTGTGGATCTGTAATTCTTAAGTAAATGGAATGGAAGTTTGCCAAATCTTGACTTTGGAGTCAGACCACTCCACAGGCTCAGATGCCCCTCTTGCTGTGTCATCCAGGTCAGAGTGCAGTGGCATGATCTCACCGCTCACTGTAGCCTCGATCTCCTGGGCTCAAGGGATTCCCCCATCTCAGCCTCCCAAGTAGCTGGGACTACAGGTACATGCTCAGCTGATTTTTTTGTAAAGACGGGGTCTCCCTGTGTTGCCCACGCTGGCCTTGAACTCCTGGCCTCGAACTCCTGGCCTCAAGCAATTCTCCCACTTCAGCCTCCCAAAGTGCTGGGATGACAGGCGTGAGTTGGGATTACAGGCACTTATCACCATGCCTGCCTAATTTTGTATTTTTAGTAGAGACGGGGTTTCAGCATGTTGGTCAGGCTGGTCTCGAACTCCTAACCTTAGGTGATCCGCCTGCCTCTGCCTCCCAAAGTGCTAAGATTACAGGTGTGAGCCACCACACCCAGCAGTCATTAATAATTTAACTACTTTTTTTTTTTTTTTTTGAGACTGGTCACTCCTGTCACCCAAGCTGGACTGCAATGGCGCCATCTCGGCTCACTGCAACCTCCATCTCCTGGGCTCAGGCCATTCTCCTGCCTCAGCCTCCGGAGTAGCTAAGACCACAGGTGCACACCACTGCACCCAGCTTTTTTCATTTTTAAAATAAAGACAAGGTTTCGGCATGTTGCCAGGCTGGTTTCAAACTCCTGAGCACAAGTGATCTGCCTGCCTCCCCCTTCCAAAGTGTTGGGATTGTAGGTGTGAACCACCTAGCCAAGACATTAACTGTACATTTCAAATTAACACAGTGTAACTGGATTGCTTGCAACTCAATGGTTAAATGCTTGAAGAGAGGGATACCTCATTCTTCATGATGTGCTTATTTCACGATGCATGCCCATATCAAAACATCTCACGTACACAATATGCACCTCCTATATATCCATATAAATTAAGAGAAAAACCACAGATTATTTCCCATTTTTAAATCTAATGAGCCCCTTTAGAGAGGAAGCATCACTTCTTTCCTACTTTGGGTGCTTAAGCAACTTGCATTTCAATGCCCTGGGACAAGAGAAGCAGAAACTAAAATTATAATAATAGGTTAATACCAAATTTATTCATTCAAGAATGAGTGAAAAATGAAGCAATTTTACACCTTTATATCTTGAAAAACGCGTTTTAATATGGATATGGGAGGAAGTTGCTAAGTGCCATCATGGAATATGAATATTAAAATAGGAATGTGAGGCCGGGCGTGGTGGCCCAAGCCTGTAATCCCAGCACTTTGGGAGGCCGAGGCGGGTGGATCACGAGGTCGAGAGATCGAGACCATCCTGGTCAACATGGTGAAACCCCATCTCTACTAAAAATACAAAAAATTAGCTGGGCGTGGTGGCGCGTGCCTGTAATCCCAGCTACTCAGGAGGCTGAGGCAGGAGAATTGCCTGAACCCAGGAGGCGGAGGTTGCGGTGAGCCAAGATCGCGCCATTGCACTCCAGCCTGGGTAACAAGAGCGAAACTCCGTCTGAAAAAAAAAAAAAAAAAAAAAAAAAAAGGAATGTGAATATGAAAATAAGACATCACTCTGTAATCCCAGTGCTTTGGGAGGCTGAGGAGGTTAGGATTGCTTCAGGTCAGGAGTCTGAGACCAGCCTGGGCAACATAACAAAACCTCATCTGCGCAAAAATGAAAAAAAAAACATTAGCTGGGCATGGTGGTTCTTTCCTGTGGTCCAAGCTACTTGGGAGGCTGAGGTGGGAGGATCGCTTGTGCCCAGGAATTTGAGGTCATAGTGAGCTATGACTTTGCCACTGTATCCAGCTTTAGTGACTGAGTGATACCGTGTTTCAAAAAAAGAGAAAAAACAAAAAGCAGGGGGTGGGGCCAGGCATGGTGGCTCACACCTGTAATCCCAGTACTTTGGGAGGCTGAGGCAGGCAGATCACCTGAGGTCAGGAGTTCGAGACCAGCCTAGCTGACAGGGTGAAACCCACCTCTACTAAAATTATGAGTGTGGTGGTGCACACCTGTCGTCCTAGCTACTCGGGAGGCTAAGACAGGAGAATTGCTTGAGACCGGGAGGCAGAGGCTGCAGTGAGCTGAGATTGCGCCACTGCACTCCAGCCTGGAAGAGACAGAGACTCCATCTCAAACAACAACAAAAAAATCAAAAAGCTTCTGGGCCGGCTTGGTGGCTCACACCTGTAATCCCAGTACTTTGGGAGGCTGAGGTGGGTGGATCACCTGAGCTCAGGAATTCAAGATTAGCCTGATCGGCATGGAGAAACCCCATCTCTACTAAAAATACAAAATTAGCCAGCCATGGTGGTGCATGCCTGTAATCCCAGCTCCTCGGGAGGCTGAGGCAGGAGAATCGCTCAAACCTCGGAGGCAGAGGTTGCGGTGAGCTGAGATCACGCCATTGCACTCCAACTGGTCAACAAGAGCGAAACTCCGTTTTAAAAAAAATAATAATAATAAGCTTCCGGAATAGCATTCCTGTCATGTATTTTAGAAGTGCAGAAGCTTCACTAAAGTCACTCATTTTGACTTCTTCATAGTAGTTGGAGCAAACTATAATAGAGAGTCAAGAATACCAGTTAATTTCCCTTATGACTATATAAAGGTGAATAAAAGTAAACATAACTTGGAAATATCCTTTTAACCCCACCAGAGTGTTTGCAATTAGATCTGAAACTACAGTGCATAGGTGTTAGAAATGAGTATCTTTCTAGACATTCAGATTGAAAAACAACCTTCACGTACAATATACTGAAATTCCAGTGAAAGAACTAATGCAAGGACTGTGGGTTTTACTGGTCTTCCTAGTGTCATCTTTTTGTTCCCTTATTAAATTTGCTTTAAAATCCAAGGGGGTAACATCTGGTAATTTCTTTTTTGAATGTTGAACTAGGATATTTAAACAATCCCAGCGCTTTCTATCAGAATAAAGGTGAGCTCTTCCGATGGGTGACCCAGAGTGCTGTGTTGTGGTCCTTTTCTGCAAGAGCAGAGATCCGTCTGGGCACAGGGTGAAAGACCTCACTGGGAATAGCTGTTCTTCAACACACTCTGGATTCACAGCCAAATATGGCAGCTGCGCTGTCTCACACTTAACAAGGTACCTGGTCTTAACTTCTGGAACTATATCCAGGAGGCCTGTGTGCCACTGAGACAACGGTTCTTTAAAAATTCTTGCCTTTGGGCCAGGTGGGATGGCACAGCTATACCAGCACTTAGGGAGGCCGAAATGCGCGGACCACCTGAGGTCAGGAGTTCCAGACCAGCCTGACCCATCTCTACTAAAAAAAACAGAAAATTAGTCGAGCGTGGTGGCACATGCCTGCAATCCCAGCTACTAGGGAGGCTGAGGTAGGAAAATAGCCTGAACCCAGGAGGCAGAGGTTTCAGTGGGCTGAGATCATGCCATTGCATTCCAGCCTGGGTGACAAGAGCGAAACTCCATCTCAAAAAAAAAATAAAAATAACAAACTCTTGTCTTTGCTTTAAAGTAGGGAGAAGAGGATACTTCAGGAAATCTTTTATAGCTTATTTACTGTCAGAAAGATATATATTCGGCCGGGCGTGGTGGCTCAGGCCTGTAATCCCAGCCCTTTGGGAGGCCAAGGTGGGCGGATTACCTGTGGTCAGGAAACCAGCCTGACCAACGTGGAGAAACCCTGTCTCTACTAAAAAATACAAAATTAGCCGGGCATGGTGGCGTATGCCTATCATCCCACCTATTTGGGAAGCTGAGGCAGGATAATCACTTGAACTTGGGAGGCGGAGGTTGTGGTGAGCTGAGATTGTGCCATTGCACTCCAGCCTGGGCAGCAAGAACAAAAACTCAGTCTCAAAAAAAAGAAAGATAAAAGGAAAGATATATATTCATCTCAGTAGTCTGAAAGCTTAGATGATCAACCTGCATGTAATTGGAAATGGGCAAAGGAGGAAAAACTGCTGGGAAATTTGTCCTGGTCCATACACCACCATCAAAATGTGACACTTTTTTTTTTTTTTTTTTTTTTTTGAGATGGAGTCTCACTCTTTCACCCAGGCTGGAGTGAAGTGGTGTGATCTCGGTTCACTGAAACTTCTGCCCTCCTGCCCCCCGGGATTCAAGCGATTCTCCTGCCTCAGCCTCCCAAGTAGCTGGGATTACAGTTGCACACTACCACACCTGGCTAATTTTTGTATTTTTAATGGAGACAGGGTTTCACCACGTTGGCCAGGCTGGTCTTAAACTCCTGACCTCAGATGATCCACCCACCTTGGCTCCCAAAGTACTAGGATTACCAGCATGAGCCACCACACCCGGCCAAAATGTGACATTTCTTCCCTGTCTAGCAGTGCAAGATCTTAAAGTCAGATCACAAAACAAGTTGTTTTCTGACTTTATCATTTTTCTCTGCATTTCTAGGGCATGTTTCTCTGAACTACTTAAATCCTTCGTAGTATAGTGACCATAAAAGAGGACGCGAGCCAAATGTATACTTAAATTAAATAGCATGATTTAATTTAGTTGCTGCTTAACCCTGAATCCTCTTAAGTTAAAAAAAAAAGTTATAATTAACTATTAACGTTAATGAATTTAAACCTTCCAGAAAGCATGAATCCAAAAGGAAATGTCCAAGAGGTGACATGAGCCAGACATTTTATGGCCTTTCCTGTTTCAGTCTCACTCATTCTAAACATCAATGGGGAAAAAAAAATTCTCTAGAGTTTTTCAGTTTTATTCTTCTAGAGCAAAATTTTCTGGCCTGTTACTGAGTACGGTCTTCTAACAGGTACACAATTAACTCGTAAGTAGACAACACAATGGCAGTATTTGGGATCTGCCGGATGAGCTGGGCAAAGAGTCCTCTATAAAAGGCGAGGTAGCCTTCTTCCCGGAACACCAGGCGCGCCGTCTGAACAAAGGACTTGTACTTGGTGCCCTCCTCCCGGAGCCTCGTCCTTATGACTTCTGCAGAGAGAGAAAGACCTACTTTACACCAGATATTGAGTGGGGAAAGAATCCACAACATGCAGCTTTAAAACTGTCAAGGTTAGGCCAGGCGCGGTGGCTCACGCCTGTAATCCCAGAACTTTGGGAGGCAGAGGCGGGCAGATCACTTGAGCCCAGGCACTGGAGACCAGCCTGGCCAACATGGTGAAACCCCATCTCTACTAAAAATACAAAAATTAGCAGGGCGTGGTGGTGCAGTCACTCTACTATTAGAGTGGCAGAGGAATGAGGTTCCCTTGAACCGGGGAGGTGGATGTTGCAGTGAGCCGGGATCACACCACTGCATGCTAGGCCTGAGCCACAGAGCGAGCAAGACTCTTTCTCAAAAAATAAATCGCCAAGTTTACAACTATACCTATTTCCCATCTCAGCTGTATTTGGACAAAAGAGTCACATACCTAGAGAGACAATGAAAAATTAAGTTATTTTTAGAACCTGTTCCAACTCTAGGATTTGGTCAACTATGGATGCTTACATAGACACACAAGTGCAAAATCACTTTTTTTTTTTTTTTTTTTTTTTTTTTTTTTTTTAAGGCAGAATCTTGCTCTGTCACCCAGGCTGGAGTGCAATGCTGTGATCTCGGCTCACTGCAACCTCTGCCTCCTGGGTTCAAGTGATTCTCTTGCCTCAGCCTCCTGCGTAGCTGGGATTACAGGCACCTGCCATCATGCCCGGTTAATTTTTGTATTTTTAGTAGAGACGAGGTTTCACCATGTTGGCCAGGCTGGTTTTGAACTCCTGATCTCAGGTGATCTGCCCACCTTGGCCTCCCAAAGTTCTGGGATTACAGCAAAATAACTTTTAAGGGGTTAAAAAAAAAAGCTTAGTTTGAATGGGACTTAATGTTACTCCCAATTAAGCAAGTACTAATTTCTCTGAAGGTGTAATTTGCATGAAGGATGCAGTATATTCAACAAATTCTTTTCTTACACTTTTCAGTTTTCTCCTCCTCCTGCAAACCTGTTTACTCTGTCCAACTCAAAAGCCACCCTCTCCTTTTGCCAGCCTTTGCCCATCTGGCCCTGCCTCCCAGGTGCCCACAGTTGGACATTTATCACGCCTGCCCTCACATGGACCTCAGGCCCTGGCAGGCCTCAGTGACCTCTTTTCTCAGGTGTCCTTTGGAGTCAGCTTAGCGCCCCAGCACACGAGGGAGATTCAGCACCTGTTACTGAGTTGACCATGTGCATTTGTCACAGTTGACAGTACAGTAAGTTTATGAAAATAAACCTGTTTTTCATCGCACAATAAGTAGGTCAGTAGGTCAACAATTCTATAACTTAAAAAAATAAACTTACCCAAAGTCACCTTACTGAAGGTTCCATTAAAAGTGGAGGCTGAGTGATCTTTAAGTTTGGCTCCCATATTATTTTGATTCAAAGTATCAAAATAATTTAATATAAATAAAATTAAATAAAATCCAGATTTTTAGCATCTCTGAAAACAGTAGAAGTTCAGCAACCCAGGGTCTGCATTTCTGAACAGCAAGTTTTGGCCACAACCAGCTGGAGGTAAGTTCGAGTACCCCACCCCCAGCATGACCCACGTCCATGAAGTTAGTGCCTGTTTCACTGGCCTTACCTGCAGGGACCCTGCGCTTCAATGCGTGCCACGGAGGTCTAGATATACCCACAAATGACAACCCTGACAGCTGTTCTAGTGTTCTGGAAGAACAAAAGCAACACGTACCGTGTGGATAAGCAATGCAGGAGGCACAGCCCTTAGAAAGAGCAGCAGCTGCCATAAGTCCAAAAAAACCTGTGGAATTTTTCTCAGTCCCGTTTGCAGAAGACGCCAATGGAGCTTCTTTCAGATACTTCTTTAAACTTTCATAAATAGCAAAGCAGATTATCGTTTCGGAAATTCCAGCATACGAGGCAGTTAATCCTCTATAGAAGCCACGAATGCCTTCGGTCCGGTAAACGTAGCGAGCACACTGGAGTGTATTCATCTGCTTAGAGCCCCTCACTCTGCGTAAAAGAGACCAGCATAGGCTAAGGAGACATATCATGGTGGAATACACAGAGACACCACACAGTAGGAGAAACGGGTCTTCCTTACGGTGTTCGGATAGATACTGGTTTTCGTCTCCATTCCTGGCCCCTGGTTCCCATAGCCCTTGCCTTTTGTTACAATGTAGGGTGTGTGAGGACTCAGGGCAGCCTCTGAGAGTCCCTTGTCCTCCTTTCACTTGCCCCAAGGCCATTCTCTAATGTCCCTACACCTTTCTGATTGTTGGTCTTACTCCATGAGAATCCACTCCTATCCCCTGCAGGAAGGAATGCTGGCATGAAGCTCCCATAAAAACCCAAGAGGACAGACTTCAGGGAGCTTCCAGAGAGGACTCAGTGGAGGCTCCTGGAAGGTGGCCCCCAGGGAGGGTATGAAAGTTCCCCGTCCCTTACTCTGTACCTGGCCCTACCTGTCTCTTCTTCTGTATCTTTGCAATATCCTTTATAACAAACCAGTCAACATGAAGTGATTCCCTGGAAGGCCCAGACATGCAACTGGTGTGTGGGTGGGTGGGGGTGGGCAGTCCTGGGGACCGAGCCCTCAAACTGTGGACTCTGACGCTATCTCCAGGTACACAGTGTTGGCACTGAACAAAAGGACATCCAGCTGGTGTCTGCTGCTTGTGTGTCGGGGAGAAGAGCCCTGCATGTTTGGTCACGGAGGTCATCTTCTGGGTCAATGACTGCTGTGGTGTGACAGTGGAGGAAAAACGGTTTGAGGAGCGTTTTTCCCACGTATCTTTGTACTGTTGTCAGCTGATCCTTAGCCCACGGTGAGGCCAGACCAATTAGCTGGGATACCTGACAGGCCCACAGAATACTAGCTATTACATCTGTATCAAGAGTCACAGAAACATGTTCATAAAAACATTAGCATTTGACCTAATTTTAGCAAGAGCTGCAGGGAGCAGTAAGACTCATCACAGAGGACCTACAAATCCAAAACAGAACAATCCAGAAAGCTGACCGTGGCACATCCGCTAGATTAACAGTCACAAGCCATGACACGCGGGCAATGCTGTCAGTGGAATACAGGACTAAGTTAAAGGTAAAGGATGATCACAAGAGCCAGGCGCAGTGGCTCACATCTGTAATCCCAGCACTTTGGGAGGCCGAGGTAGGACGACTGCTTGAGGCCAGGAGTTCAAGACCAGCCTGGCCAATGTAGTGAGGCCCCATCTCTCCAAACAAAAAAAAAAAAAAAAAAAAAAGAAAGAAAGAAAAATAGTAAGAAAGAAAAATAGGAACATTCCAACCTGTCGGTGAGGCTTCTCATTAGATTTCTGACAGCACTCATCTTTCCGAATAGTGTGTTTTAATTCTATTATTGCTAAATTTATAAAATTAGTGAATGAAAACCCTCAGGTATAGAGGCTCCTACCCCAGGACATAAACTATTTATGAACTGTGGCTGCAAGACAGGGAGTGGGCCACTGGATGAGTGTAGTTAGGTGTGCACCAGTCACACGTCACAGGCCCCTCCCAGGAGGCGAAGACCTGAGGCCCTCTTTGAGCTTCAGTCAGTCTCAGCTGGCCTCTGTCCCTTCTTCATCGTCTCCCCATAGACTGTTCCCGTTCCTAAGCCACAGTGTCCTTTGTAACACAAATCCAACCATGCAACTCCTGTGCTCAGAACCATGCAGAATTTCTTACCCATGGCACTATTCATTCACATTTGGGGCTAGACCATTCCGTTAGGGGAGAAGGGGGCTGTCCTGTGCCTTGTAGATGTTTAGCAGCAACCCAGCCTCTATTTACACTAGACGCCAAAAACACCCACCCCCAGTTATGCAAACTACACATGTCTCCAAACTTTGCTGCTGACTGTCCCCTGGAGAGTATACCCCCATCTCCATCCTCATTTTCCCTGAGGACCACTGCTCTGATGACTTTCCACTGCCCTCAAAACCCAACTCCAAACTCCCTTTGAGGCCTGGGAAGGATTAGGCTCCCCTGTTCCTCCAGTCTTATCTTTCCAAAATTCCCTTCTCTGGCGCAGATGCACATAGTACACACCAACCACACTTCCTGTCTTACAGGTCCCCAGAACTAACCACGCTTTCTTTTCTTTTTTTTGAGACGAACTCTTACTCACTCTGTCCCCGAGGCTGGAGTGCAGTAGTGCGATTTCAGCTCACTGCAGCCTCCACCTTCTGGATTCAAGTGATTCTCCTGCTTCAGTCTCCCAAGTAGCTGGGATTACAGGTGCATGCCACCACACCCAGCTAATTTTTGTATTTTTTGTAGAGACAGGGTTTCACCATGTTGCCCAGGCTGGTCTCAAACTTCTGAGCTCAAGTGAACTGGCCACCTTGGCCTCCCAAAGTGCTGGGATTACAGTCTTGAGGCACTGTGGCTGGTCTAACCATGCTTTCTTGCCTCAAGATTTCACTCACCCTCTCTCTGCCCAGCTCTTCACTGCTGCCCCCACCTGGCTATTCTTTTTTGTCTTCTAAATCAGTGTCATTTATTGCATTATTTAAATATCACAAATAGGTCTAAGGAATCAACTGGCATTTTGTTTCTATAGCTGGACAACTCTTAGATCTTATTCATCAGCCTGCTGAACAGTTCCTTCTTCAGAGACATAGATATCGTCCAAAAATTTCCTGATATCCTTGTTTCTAAGTGCTGTGGCGTGTGGAATCAAGGCTACCGAAGTTGAAACAAGCTCAATGTCATTTCCTTCAAGGATTCAATTCATCTTTCTGGGCTCGAGATACTGAAAAAGCAATACCTGGTCGCATCCGAACCCTGTAGATATATTTTTCACCCAAGAAACTTTGGATTTCAACAAAAGACCCATTCTCCTGGAAAACAACGTTGATGGGGAAGTGAACACACGCAGACCTCATCTTGTAAGGGAAGCCCAGTGTAATACCCTTGGTCACGTTCTCTATATAACTACAAACAGCCCGAATGGCAGCCAGTTCCTTTCTGTTACCTCACCATTTGTCACCCAGAGCCACTTTTTTCCCCTTTCCAAAGAGACTGAGTTCTACACTGATGTGACTGACGTCCCTCCACAGGGTTCCTCTGGGGCCTTTCACAATAACTGTGTATCCCTTTAGGGTAATGTGGGCATTTTCTGGAATGTCAACATCTGACTGCTGAGAATGGTCTTGATTCTCGAAGTAGATGTGGCAAAGCCCCCGGGGCTATTCTGAAGATGATAGTTGGGTGCTGCTGCCTCTGAAGCTCTCCCAACCTTCTCTCTCCTAACCTAACCCGTACTGGGGACTCTTGAGGGTCCAGTGGCACCCTCAGCACCCTTATCCCACCAAACTTTAATCCTCTCTCTCTTTTTTTTTTTTGAGACGGAGTTTCACTCTTGTATTTTTTGTAGAGACCCAGGCTGGAGTGCAATGGCGCGATCTCGGCTCACTGCAACCTCCGCCTCCTGGGTTCAGGCAATTCTCTGCCCTCAGCCTCCTCAGTAGCTGGGATTACAGGCAAGCGCCACCAGGCCCAGCTAATTTTTGTATTTTTAGTAGAGACAGGGTTTCACCATGTTTACCAGGATGGTCTCAATCTCTTGACCTCATGATCCACCCACCTCAGCCTCCCAAAGTGCTGGGATTATAGGCCATCGTGAGCCACCGCGCCTGGCCTAATTTTCTTTTTTATCTGTAAAGCTGTAAGCTCCTAGACAAAGCTCCCTGCTTTTTCCCTACTGACTACTGCAAGCAACAAATATCCATTGCTGAGGGATAAATATTAACAGAGCTCACCCAAACAAAGTTCTAAAGTCTTCTGAGCACCGTAATTATTAGGCGGAATGACAAGAACACACATAAAGGCTCTCAGCTGACGGACTTGTTTATCCCTTGCTAAACAGAAGTGACATAAGGACACCGTGGAACACTTGGAATTAGGAGGAATTACCAAAGGCTTCCAGGATAGGTGACAGCATGACCAGGAAGGGGAGGGGAGACCTCGGGTGAGGGACAGCACACATGGGAGACAGAGGTATAAAGGCACATGACATTTTTGGAAAATCACAGGACTGCTGAATTAGGAGTTTACCCTGAGAGGAACAGATTCATTGAAAGAGTCCGAGCAAGTGGTCTCTTCAAATGGTTAGGCCTGATGTGAGTTAGAGGGGCGGGGGGGGGGGGGGGGACTTGGAGTCAGTGACTCATGCAGAAGCTATCACGGTCATTAGAAAGAAAAACCAACTGCAGCCCCCTACCTACCCTTCCTAGGGTGTTCTCACTCCCTGCCTGCGTTTTTTTTTTTTTTTTTTTTTTTCCAGACAGAGTCTCACTCTGTCACCCAGGCTGGAGTGCAGTGGTGTGATCTCAGCTCACTGCAACCTCCACCTCCTGGGTTCAAGCGATTCTCCCTAGTAGCTAGGATTCTCAAGCCCGAGTAGCTAGGGTTACAGGTACCCACCGCCACACCTAGCTAATTTTTGTATCTGTAGTAGAGACGGGATTTTGTCACTTTAGCCAGGCTGGTCTTGAACTTCTGACCTCATGATCCAACCACCTTAGCTTCCCAAAGTGCTGGGATTACAGGTGTGAGCCACTGTGCCTGGCCAACATAGGGGTGCTTAATAGAATGCTGGTAGTTCCTTCATGCGGACTGGGGAGAAAACGGTATCTTTAACCCTAATCCCAAACCAAAATCAGCATTCCTTCAATTGTGAATGAAGACAAATAGGCCACAGTAGTAGAAGTGGTGGTGGTAGTAACAGTAGTGGCAGTAGTAGTGGCAGTATTAGCAATAGTAGTGGTGGCAGTAGCAGTGGTTGTAGTACTAGTGGCAGTAGTAGTGGTGGTGCGAGTATTAGTGGTGGTAGTAGTGGTGGTAGTAGTGGTGGGAGTATTAGTGGTAATAGTAGTGGTAGTAATAGTAGTAGCGGAAGTAGTAGTGGTGGTGGAAGTATTAGTGGTGGTAGTAGCGGCAGTAGTAGTAGTAGTGGGAGTATTAGTGGTGGTAGTAGTAGTAGCAGTGGTAGTAATAGTAGTAGTGGGAGTAGCAGTGGCAGGATGGTGATGGCAATAGTAGAGGTGGTGGTAGTAGTAGCAGTACGTGTGATTTGACACAAATAGAAGTATTTTCATGTCACATTACATGTGTTGAAAACATCAAAGGGCACTGTTTATCATCACTTCTTAGAAATTATGGTAGTTACTGGACTACTGCTAGATCTTGTTAACGTGTTAAAGAGGCATACCACTGTATCACTGATAAATGTATCTTTAAAAACCTTATTATAAGGCCTGGTGTGGTGGCTTATGCCTGTTATCCCAGCACTTTGGGAAGCTGAGGTGGGATGACTGCTTGAGCCCAGGAGTTGAGACCAGTCTGGACAACATGGCAAGATCCATCTCAACAAGAAAAACAAAGGTAGCTGGGTGTGGTGGCATGTATCTGTGGTCTCTAACTACTGAGGATGTGAGGCTGGTGCAGGAGGATTGCTTGAGCCTGGGAGGTCAGGGCTGGGGGACAAATGAGACCTTTTCTCAAAAAATACATGAATCACCCGGGAGGCAAAGGTTGCAGTGAGCTGAGATTGTACCACTGCACTTCAGCCTGGGCAACAACTGAGAGCCTGTCTCAAAACAAACAAACAAACAAACAAACAAACAAACAAACAAACATTATTCTAAACAGGGCCTGCAGGTGTCACCAGACTGCCAAAGGAATCCACAGCCTGCCAAAACGTTACAAACCCCTGGCTGGAGTTTTAGGGCAGAAGCCTATTACAGCTGAGGGCCTTTGGAGACTAAAATTAGCCTTCTGAGGGAGGACATTCCATGTTCTGCCTTTACTCTCTTCTCTTTGGAAAGGGAGGCCATCTGAGAAGAAACCACAGCATTCCAACTGGGGTGGGGTCTGCAAAGGACAGTCGCTGGCTATCTGAGAAGGCAGGCTCAGGGGACACAACCAGAGAAACCCCCTTCTTCCCATTTGTCATCTCTGTCAGCCCTCATCTTCCCGTGATGCTCACAGCACAAACCTCAATACAGAAGGAGCCCCACATGTGCTTAGATTTAGAAAACGCGGAGGGGGATAGCTAAGGACTCTGTATCTCATCCCTTAGAGATAAGGGGGAATTGCAGAAGGGAAAAAAAAAAAAAAATCACAAAAGTCCTTTATTAAGGAACAAGTTATTACTTGTTAATAATAAAGTCCTTACTACTTACTTTCGTTCTAGCTGCATTCGGGTTTTAACCATCCATATAGGATTCATTAAGGAATTTGTGATAAAAGCTGGAAAAAAAAAAACAGTAAAGGTCAATACTTATTAAAGATGTCTATTATCATATGTTAAACTTTGAAATCAGGATTTCAATGGCCTAATAAACATAGATGGCAGGAAGCAGTTACATTTCTCTCCTGCAGATAGAAGCTTTGGTTTCCCCATTAAGTGTAACATTTACTGGTATTGCTGGATCTAAAAGAAGTTTCTCATTTTTCTAGAACCCCTTCTAGTCTTTTCGACCTCTAGGTGGTGCTGTTGATACTTGTGTTAATGTGATTCCTACTGTAAATTTTATCAGTTCTAAACCCCAATTTATAAGCTTCAGATACAGAAATAATTTGTTAACTTTTAAGACTGATCTGCTTATAGGAACCATTTTGTCAGTAAGCTTTCTCCATCTAATTTTTTTTTTTTTTTTTTTGAGACGGAGTTTCGCTCTTGTTACCCAGGCTGGAGTGCAATGGCGCGATCTCGGCTCACCGCAACCTCCGCCTCCTGGGTTCAGGCAATTCTCCTGCCTCAGCCTCCTGAGTAGCTGGGATTACAGGCACGCGCCACCATGCCCAGCTAATTTTTTGTATTTTTAGTAGAGACGGGGTTTCACTATGTTGACCGGGATGGTCTCGATCTCTTGACCTTGTGATCCACCCGCCTCGGCCTCCCAAAGTGCTGGGATTACAGGCTTGAGCCACCGCGCCCGGCCTCTTTTTTTTTTTTTTTTTTTTTTGTAGAGACAGGGGTCTCTCTTGTTGCTCAAGCTATTCTCAATTCCTGGGCTCAAGTGTTCCTCCAGCCTCAGCCTCCCACAGTGCTGGGATTACAAGCATGAGCCACCACATCCAGCCAAACCTTCCCCACCTCAACACTGTGAACTATTCCAGGACAATCAAGAAAAGCAACAACATGGTATTAATCTGACACACAGTATCGCTTCTCTAATACCTCACGCTCTTCACAGTGCCGGGGGAGCAGATTAATTTGATACTAGGATCAAATACTATGCCACTGGTTTTAAGGACTTCTTTAAGGCCTGTTTATTTACCAAGGGCTGTTTCTAAACTAACTTGGCAAAAGTCACAAAGCGGATTAGTAGTTCTTAGCTCATGGTAACTCACTGCTGGCCTATCTTTAAGTGAACAGCAACCTGCTTTGGAACTCTGCCTTTCCTCCTTGGAGCTCTGTATTACACAGCAATGGCTTCCTTGTATAAACCAACTTTAATTCTATTCAGGGTCTAGAAATAATTAGCTGTAAATATTCAGACAGGTTGGTCGCACTTGTATTTGGAGTAACAACAGCAGTCAAAACTGGTGTGCATCTTACAGACCGGTAGGAGATGCAAATTGTTTGTAAAATGCCAATTCAATCTTTCTAGGCACGGCCTAGTGGTGGCTCACATCTGCAATCCCAGCACTCTAGGAGACTGAGGCAGGTGGATCACTTGAGTTCAGGAGTTTGAGACTGGCTTGAGCAACATGGTTAAACTCCATTTTTGCAAAAAATACAGAAAAATTAGCTGGGCATAGTGGTGTATGCCTGTAGTCCCAGCTACTCGAGAGGCTGAGGCAGGAGGATGGCTTGAGCCCAGGCGGTAGAGGCTGCAGTGAGCTGGGATCATGCCACTGCACTCTACCCTAGGCGACAGAGCCAGACCCTGTATCAAAGCAAAACAAAACCAATTAAAAAAAACCCCTTCTATTTAAATGGACTCTTTTATATAAAGAGCCTTCTCTCAGAAAGCTACACGTTCATGTTTTGCAACCGGTACATCGTGGGGAAAAGTCCTGCTGTGACTTTTCTGTAGGAAGTGAAATGGTTCCCTCAAAAGAGAACAGATGCCCTACTAGCTGCCACGGACCCTACTGGAAAACTCCACTGCAAGCCCCGCACCCTAACTGCATCACCCAGAGCTGGAGTCAGGAGTGCCAACTGAGCCGGGTGAGGTGGCTCTTGCACATAATCCTAGCACTTTGGGAGGCCAAGGCGGGCAGATCACGAGGTCAGGAGATCGAGACCATCCTGGCTAACACAGTGAAATCCTGTGTTGACTAAAAATACAGAAAATTATCCAGGCATGGTGGCACGCGCCTATAGTCCCAGCTACTCGGGAGGCTGAGGCAGAATCGCTTGAACCCAGGAGGTGGAGGTTGCAGTGAGCTGAGATCGCACCACTGCACTCCAGTCTGGGGACAGAGTGAGACTCTGTCTCAAAAAAAAAAAAAAAAAAAAAAAAAGGTGCCAACTGTATACAGGGTGTGTGGGATCCCCATGGGAGGATCACGAAGAAAGCAGCTCTAATTTTAGAAAATCATCTCATGGAGGAGGGTGCAGTGGCTCATGCCTGTAACCACAGCACTTTGGGAGGCCGAGGGTGGATCACTTGAGGTCAGGAGTTTGAGACCAGCCTGGGCAACATGGTGAAACCCCGTCTCTACTAAAAATGCAAAAATTAGCCAGGCATGGTGGCAACTACTTGTAATCTCAGCTACTCGGGAGGCTGAGGGACAAGAATCACTTTAGCTTGGGAGGTGGAGGCTGCAGTGAGCCGAGATCGTACCATTGTACTCCAGTCTCATCCTAAAAGAATGAGACTCTGTGTCAAAAAAAAGAAAAAAATAACTTGATGGGGAAACAGGAAGACATATAACTATTCCTTTAGAAGAAGGAAATACAAGCCCGGCACAGTGGCTCACGCTTATAATCCCAGCACTTTGGGAGGCTGAGGGGGGTGGATCACGAGATCAGGAGTTCAATACCAGCCTGGTCAACACAGTGAAACCCCATCTCTACTAAAAACACAAATATTGTGCCGAGTGTGGTGGCTCAAGCCTGTAATCCCAGCACTTTGGGAGGCCGAGGCGGGTGGATCACGAGATCAAGAGATCGAGACCATCCTGGTCAACATGGTGAAACCCTGTCTCTACTAAAAATACAAAAAATTAGCTGGGCATGGTGGCATGTGCCTGTAATCCCAGCTACTCAGGAGGCTGAGGCAGGAGAATTGCCTGAACCCAGGAGGCAGAGGTTGCGGTGAGCCGAGATCGCGCCATTGCACTCCAGCCTGGGTAACAAGAGCGAAACTCTGTCTCAAAAAAAAAAAAAAAAAAAAAAAAAAAAATATATATATATATATTTTACCAGGGCATAGTGTCAGGTGCCTGTAATCCCAGCTACTCGAGAGGCTGAGAAAGGAGAATTGCTTGAACCCGGGAGGTGGAGGTTGCAGTGAGCTGAAATCATGCCACTGCACTCCAGCCTGGGTGACAGAGCTAGACTCCGTCTCAAAAAAACAAAAACAAATAACAACAACAAACCCCCCCAAAGTATGAAATACCAGTAGCATGTATACAGCAGTAAATTCTGAGGGCAAATAAAGAGCTTTAGTAGCCAAGGAAAATGAAATCAAGCTACAAACCGCTCTGACTCATTTTATCAGTTGTAACAAAGCTTTAGAAAAATGATTTTAGGTGCAAAGGAAGCAGGGAGCTAATTTCTAATTTCTGGAGAAACTGTTTGGCACAATGCATGCTTTAGAAAAGCGAGAGAGAAACCCTCTCTTCACTCACTAGGGTAACATACCTGCAGAGCCAGCTGAGAAAATATGCACAATATTGCTGTTAGGCACGAAAATGCCATTAAATTGCTCTTTGGCTTTGGAGTAACATGCAAAGTATACAGCCCTGTTAGAACAAAGAGAACATTATAAAGAAATCATCATGGTGCAACTTTCTATGTCCCTCCAGAACACCTGAAAAATTTAGGAAAATAAAACAGGAAAAATGCTGCCATGTAGCCAAAAAGCTCGTCCTCGCCTGTGCTAAAACCGAAACCTGCCACAGGCGCGTTCAGGAAGCCCTTGTTTGTCCCTCCAGAAATGATTTAGTGATGACAGAGGTGTCTGAAGTAATCGAGGGAGGTGAGATTTGGGGAAGACATCCACAAAGTCCTTTTACATTCTTCATTCTGGATAAATGCCGATCCTTTAAGCATCAACACATTGGAAGTTTAACTTTTTTAAATATTTCTAGAATAGACCACACTTTTTCACCTTGTGCCAAAATGAGAATGTTGAATATAATTTGAGCTGTTTTTGGATGACAAGGATCGCACAGAACAGTCATCATATCATACCTGTGTTTTCATAAAGGGTCCTCCCCCCACCCCTGCCTTGACTATTGCAGAGTGGTCCTGTCACCCATTTTCTCTTGACTTTTGCCCCTGCTGTCTTCCCTCTTGTTGGGGCTGGAGATAACAGCCACTTGGGATTTTTCCTTGCTTTCACCAGCAATGCAGGGAAAGCATTCTTTCTTCTGCTGGCCAATCGATCAATCATAGAATGTATTTTTCAGGTTAGGATCTCAACTACTTATCATTATGGTGTTATAAAAGTCTTCCTGGTCGGGCGCAGTAGCTCACGCCTGTAATCCCAGCATTTTGAGAGGCCAAGGTGGGTGGATCATGAGGTCAGGAGTTCGAGACCAGCCTGGCCAACATAGTGAAATCTTGTCTCTACTAAAAATACAAAAATCAGCTGGACATTATGGCACGTGCCTGTAGTCCCAGCTACTCGGGAGGCTGAGGCAGAGGTTGTGGTGAGCCGAGATCACGCCACTGCACTCCAGCCTGGGCTAAAGAGCAAAACTCCATCTCAAAAAAAAAAAAAAAAAAAAAAAAAAGGCCGGGTGCGGTGGCTCACGCCTATAATCCCAGCACTTTGGGAGGCCGAGGCGGGTGGATCACAAGGTCAAGAGATCGAGACCATCCTGGTCAACATGGTGAAACCCCGTCTCTACTAAAAATACAAAAATTAGCTGGGCATGGTGGAGAGTGCCTGTAATCCCAGCTACTCAGGAGGCTGAGGCAGGAGAATTGCTTGAACCCAGGAGGCGGAGGTTGCGGTGAGCCGAGATCGCGCCATTGCACTCCAGCCTGGATAACAAGAGCGAAACTCCATCTCAAAAAAAAAAAAAAAAAAAAAAAAGCAGATTCTGATGTAGGCCTGGGCTGTACCTGAGACTGTATGTTTATAACAAGCTCCCAGACAATACTAACACTGCTGGCCATGTGCCATACTTTGAGTAGCGAACACTTAGAGTACATTAAGGTAATTACAGCAGATTTTCACATTTAAGAATATGAAGAATACAGTAAGCAGAATCTTTCTTTTACACACTGAAGAAACACCTACAGTTTTCAATGACTATCTGCTATATCCACTATATTTAGGCAAATTCAACACAGCGAAAGACACTGGTCAGTCAGCAGCATCACCCTTTGGTACAAAAGGGCCCAGTGTTCCATACTGCTTCGCATGGGCTAGCTGGAAAGCTTAATGCTTACCTTGATGGTGCAACTCCAACCAAATTTGGACCCAAGCCTCTAAAAAGTGACTTTGGTCCCTCTTTCTCCAAGATCGACCTGAATAATAAGAAAAGACAAATCTTTAAAACCCCTTAGGCAAAGCCTATGAAAAACGATGAGGCGTCAACCTTCCCATTAGTTTCTTCTTTTTTGTTTTTTTTGAGACGGAGTTTCGCTCTTGTTACCCAGGCTGGAGTGCAATGGCGCGATCTCGGCTCACCGCAACCTCCGCCTCCTGGGTTCAGGCAATTCTCCTGCCTCAGCCTCCTGAGTAGCTGGGATTACAGGCACACGCCACCATGCCCAGCTAATTTTTTGTATTTTTTAGTAGAGACGGGGTTTCACCATGTTGACCAGGATGGTCTCGATCTCTCGACCTCGTGATCCACCCGCCTCGGCCTCCCAAAGTGCTGGGATTACAGGCTTGAGCCACCGTGCCCGGCCCCCCATTAGTTTCTTGAGAGAATAAAACGTTTGAGTGATCTCAGGCTTGCCTCTTATCTGATTCGATTACAATACAGAATGGGAAGGCTGTAGAATACTGCTATCACACACAGTGAAAAACTATGCTTCAGAAAGCATCAGTTAGACATTTTTTCTTTTTTGTTTGAGACAGAGTCTTGCTCTGTCACCCAGGCTAAGTGCAGTAATGCGATCTCGGCTCATTGCAACTTCTGCCGCCCGGGTTCAAGTGATTCTCCTGCCTCAGCCTCCCGAATAGCTGAGATTACAGAAACCCACCACCATCCCCGGCTAATTTTGTATTTTTAGTAGAGACGAGGTTTTGCCATGTTAGCCAGGCTGTTTTTGAACTCCTGACCTCAGGTAATCCGCCTGGCTTGGCCTCCCAAAGTGCTAGGATTACAGGCCTGAGCCACTGCACCTGGCCTTGAAATACTTTCAAGAAGCCATTTCCCCTGTTCACACAAGAGCAAGCTGTGCAGGGTCTACACTATACAATGAAATCCTGTGAAGGTAGGATGAGTATGGCAGAGGGTTCCACACAGGGACTAATATCCTCATCATAACAAGATTCACTGAGAAACCCGGTTCAGAGATTTCTTTTGGATATACTGCTTCTAACAATTCTATCTTCTAGATCTTTACCTTATGTAGTAGAATCTCATACAGGGATATATGGAATAGAGCCAGCTCAGTGGTTCATACCTGTAATCCCAGCACTTTGGGAGGCCTAGGCAGGAGGATCACATCACTTGAACCCAGGAGTTCCAGACCAGCCTGGGCAACATAGTAAGATCCCATCCCTACAAAAAATGAAAAATTAGCCAGGTATGGTGGTGTGTGCCTGTGGTGCCAGCTACTCAGGAGGCTAAGGTGAGAGAATTGCTTAGCCTGGGAGGTCAAGGCTGCAGTGAGCCATGATCACACCACTGCACTCCAGCTTTGGCGACAGAGGGACACCTTGTCTCAAAAACTAAGGAAAAAAAAAAAGTTGGTGGGGGTGGGGGGAGGCAGATTTTAAGGAACAGAAAACTAATACTTTTCATGGACAGGATGACGGTTATTTCAAACCAAAGCCTAGTATCTCAAGTCCAAAGATTATACCATGACTGCTTTTTCTTTTAAACTATTTTTTTTTTTTTGTGGTGACATACGCATAATAGAAAATGTACCATTGTAACCATTTTTTAAATTTTAAGAACAATTTTTATTTTCTTGCTCTCATTGGTACATTTAATAAAAATGTTTATTTAGGTTGAGATCTTAAAGTTGTCAGTGAAGCCTCAAAGTTACCTAACAGTTTGCATCCAGTAGTTTTTTGGGGTAACACAAACATCAGTATGGCCAAATGTTAACTCATTTGCTTTTTGTGTTAATATCAAATTAATATTTGTAATATAGTGTCCCTAAACAAATATGACAACTTCTTGGAATTATTTTAAAATTACTGTAAAGAAAGAAAATAATTTTTGACACTTAAATGAAAGCTTGGTTGTTTCAGAGAAATTCAGACAATAATTTATACAAGCTATCAGGAAAACTGGATAATGCAAAAAGCCATAAGTAATGGAAATAATTTGAGTAAATAGGCAAATGTGGTATTTCATAAACCTAATGCTTAAAAGTACAAAATCCTGAAACATAATGGAAATGTTTACAAAAGTAAAAGATCAGCGAATGCTAGTGAAATGCAAAAATATTCCGTAAAGTTTTGACAGGCGTTTTTTCTTCTCATTTCTAGTGTGAGGATATTCAATATTTTCTCAAGTATGATGAAGAATAGCAGACAGTTAATATCTAGGGGCTAGTTTGTTTGACATAACTGGTACTAAAAAGAGCAGTTCTCTGAAGAGAGAGCAGTCATATTTTTAGTTAAATGTCAAGAAGACCTGCTGAAGCCGGGCGCAGTGGCTCAAGCCTGTAATCCCAGCACTTTGGGAGGCCGAGGCGGGTGGATCACGAGGTCAAGAGATCGAGACCATCCTGGTCAACATGGTGAAACCCCATCTCTACTAAAAATACCAAAAAATTAGCTGGGCATGGTGGCACGTGCCTGTAATCCCAGCTACTCAGGAGGCTGAGGCAGGAGAATTGCCTGAACCCAGGAGGCGGAGGTTGCGGTGAGCCGAGATCGCGCCATTGCACTCCAGCCTGGGTAACAAGAGCGAAACTCCGTCTCAAAAAAAAAAAAGAAGACCTGCTGAAACGCACCTAATAAAACACTGCTTTATTTTCCATCCCATGGAATACTGTGCAGCCATAAAAAAGGAGATCATGTCTTTCACAGGAACATGGATGAGGCTGGAGGCCATCATCCTTAGCATACTGGGTGGACAAAATAAACTGTGCAAAAAGCCACTGGGACACCAGTTTACCTATATAACAAACCTGCACATGTACACCTGAACCTAAGCCAGTGAGCCAAGATGGTGCCACTGCATTCCAGCCTGGGTGCCAGATTGAGACTTCTCCAGTGGATCTCCCTTGACTGATGATCTTCCTATTTAATTTCAGCTTTACTGTCTTCAATTATGTCGTTTTTGGTTCCTTGCATTTCATTTTGCTATACCAAAATGGCATGTCAGCTTGGAATCATTTGCGCATGTGCAGGAAGAAGCGAAGTGGGAGCCCTTCCTCCCAGCAGAACCTTCCTCGGGAGGCTGGTTGTGCAGTCCTCGATCCCCTCCAGACTGCATGGGGCGGCCCTGCCACCTCCTCGAGGCCACCAGAGGATCGATGGCCGTTGACTCCGAGGCCCCTGCATCTACAGCGCTCACACTCAAGGGAACGGTGAAGGCTCAGTGCACCCGACTGGTCCCATCTCTTCCCTCCCACTCCCTCTCAGGAGGGCCTGGGAGCACAACCACGGGCCATTGTAACCATTTTTAAGTGTAGAGTGCAGTGGCATTAAGTACATCCACACTGTTGTGCAACCATGACCACCACCTACCTCCAGAACCTTTCCGACTTTTCAAACTGAGCCTCTGCAATCATTAAGCACTAGTTCCCGAGTCCTCTCTCCTGCCAGGTCCTAGCAGCCATCATTCTGTCCATAAATCTGACAACTCTAGGTATCTCTTATCAGTGGAGTCACATCTATTTTTGTCACTGGCTTATTTTGCCTAGTCTTTGAGGTTCATCCATGTTGTAGCATATGTCAGAATTTCCTTCTTTTTAATTTTTTTTTTTTTTTTTTGAGACAGGGTCTCACTTCATCACCCAGGCTAGAGTGCAGTGGCGAGATCTTGGCTCATTGCAATCTCCACCTCCTGGGTTCAAGAGATTCTCATGCCTCAGCCTCCCCAGTAGCTGGGATTACAGGTGAGTGCCACCACGCAGCTAATTTTCATATATATATATATATATATATATTTAAATAGATAAGGGGTGTCACCATCTTGGCCAGGCTGGTTTCAAACTCCTGGCCTCAAGTGATCCACTCACTTTGGCCTTTCTAAGTGCTGGGCTTACAGGTGTGAGCCACTTCGACCACCCAGAATTTCCTTTTTTTTTTAAAAAAAAAACGCTGCGCCGGGCACGGTGGCTCAAGCCTGTAATCCCAGCACTTTGGGAGGCCGAGGCGGGTGGATCACGAGGTCGAGAGATCGAGACCATCCTGGTCAACATGGTGAAACCCCATCTCTACTAAAAATACAAAAAATTAGCTGGGCATGGTGGCTCATGCCTGCAATCACAGCTACTCAGGAGGCTGAGTATTGCCTGAACCCAGGAGGCGGAGGTTGCGGTGAGCCGAGATCACGCCATTGCACTCCAGCCTGGGTAACAAGAGCGAAACTCCATCGCAAAAAAAAAAAAGGCTGAATGCTATTCCATGACTGTATATACCACATTTTATTATCCATCTATCCATTGATGGACACGTGGGCTGCTTCCACGTTTTGGCTATTATAAATAGTGCTGCTATAAACATGGGTATACAAATATCTGTTTGAGTCATTCCTTTGGATTCTTTTGCGGAATCCAGGTGGAATTGGTGGACACGTGGTAATTCTATGCCTAATTTCTGAGGAACCATGAGGCTGTTTTCCACAGTGGTTACACCGCCTTACGTTCTCACCTGCAACATACAAGGGGTTCCGACTTCTCTATAACCCTGCCAACGTGCTTTTCACAAAAAATGTTAAATATTGCTTTTGATTAAAAGAGACTCAGAAAATCATAAAAGGATTGTATGGAACATTCTTTAGAGGCATTTTTCCACTGCAACACAGTTATTCAAGTTGATTAAATTTACTATCTTCAGTTGTTCAATTTCCATGGTATCCAAGAGAATTTACATTGTTATATTATGGTCTTCTCTAATTTAATCTCCTTTTCTTATTGAGGGTCTTTCTTTACTAGTAGTACCTTCCACTTGATAGCACTCAGGGTTGATCTAGCTCACAAATAATCATATGCTAGTCAAAAGTTAATAGAATGGCCCGGAGTGGTGGCTCACGCTTGTAATCCTAGTATATCTGGGAGGCTGAAGTGGGTGGATCACTTGAGCTCAGGAGTTTGAGACCAGCTTGGCCAACATGGTAAAACCCCGACTCTACTAAAAAAACAAAAATTAGCTGGAAATTGCTTGATCC